ACCATATTATCTTAACATTTTGTCCCTGATATCAGGATAGAAAATTTCATGCCCTGTTAGTTAGACAGTGGATAGCTTAAAGTAGATTTTTATTGATGTGAAATGAATTATTAATTTAATGAGGAAAGTCTTTCAAACATTTTCAGGTTATCATGAAAGTTATGTTTTATGAGTCCATCTTTAGGTTAATGAGCAACTTTTTATCTGTGTTGTATTTGTTTTGGGTCAATGTACATCAAAGAGCCTTTTGATCTTTTATATTGTATTGCACTTCATTACAAACTTTCATAGTGTTGTCAGTTGTTTTGTCTTAATGACAAGATACTGCTTTATTGTGTGATAACAGCCTATCATAGAACTTTTTGTGTTGCTCCTAATTGTCTAGGAGAGCAGGTAAAAATAAAAAGCAGCTTATTTCCGCCTGCCTGAAACATATACACTATAGCAAAAAGAAGGCATACTGAGCTTATGTTAAATGGCATGCCATTACATAAAGAGAAATCAATCCTCTCAGAGCTACTCAGTTCTCTCTTTTGTCTTGTTGAAATAAATGGAAGAATCGCAAATAACCCTTCTCTCAAAGTGATCCTCCGTTTGGGTCGCTGTGGGCTTTTCCCAGTGAGAGAGCGAGAGACTGTGCTAATGTTTCTCTACCTTTTGATCTGATGCTCAAATAATGAGACTCTTATGAATAATAAATTCAAATCATTCAGTGTGACCTTGCGGGGAAATGTGGAGGGCAAGAAAAAAAAAAACAAAAACAAAACACAGGTTGACTAGCATGTGCACCAGTTCAAATTGGGGAGGTGCATTTGCATGGAGTGGGGTTGGGGGGTCGGAGGGAGCTCATCACTAATTATCACCATCAGCCTGAACTGGCCTTGTAGAAAGGACCCTTAGTCAATAGTGGACTGAATCAATCCTTGATTGCACCATCTAGCTAGCTCAGATGAGCTTCAATCAGCAGAGGCCTAACACACACACACCCACACACAGTTGAATATGAGGGACTGCGAGTGCTAAGATGGCGACCATCAGAGGGGGTTAGCTTCAGAGGAAGAGCTCCACTTCAAATGGAATGGAAGAGGGTTTTTTTCAAGCCACATTGTCATAAATTTTTCATCTGCAGCTGGCTTTGAGGCAGACAGAAGAGGGGGCAAGCCAGGCGGGGGCAAATCGAAGGCTTCTAACAAACCTGGGCTTTCAGAGCCAAGAGACGGAGAGATTGAGGGGGAGGGAAGCTGACAGAGAGAAAGAAAACATGGTGATTATTTACAGATGAGGAACAAAGGCAGTCTCGTGCTGTAGCTTAGTTTGAGTGCTCCTGGCCTCCTTTGAGTAAGTTCAGCAGGGCAGGGTGGAGCCTCTGATGAGAGGCCAGCTGAGGAGACACGGGAGGAGGATGCTTCTAATGATCTCTCACTGAGAGAGAGACAGATGTAAATAAAGCAGAAGTCACAACTGACTGAGGTCTTTCAGAGATGCATTGATCTATTATGTCAGCTTTTTTTTGTCTTTTCTCCACACAGTGATAAAATGTCCTCTTTGGTCAAAAGTCAGAAAGGTTTCTTTCACAGTTTAGTTTAAAGTGAACCTTTCTTGAGTGGAATTTCCTGAAGTATGATAAAAAATGTCGTCTTGTGCTGTCATTATACAATACTGTGCAAAAGTCTTAGCACCTAAGCAAATTGTAAAACTATTTATTTGAGCAAGAAATGTGTCATTGCTTGTAGAAAACACCATATAACATTAGAATAAATACAATATCTTTTGAGCTAGTTAGAAGAACACAGGTTTGGTCCCTGACTTCATCTCAACATTCCCAACCATCACACAGATTTGTTCAAATTCACATCTAATATAATTTAATAAAGTATTAATTTGGCCAAACCAGGTTTTGGATGAGAACAATAATTAACATTGGGCTTCCTCAAGGAGAGGTTTGGAAATGGTTAAATGAACACATTGACATGCATATAAACAATACTTATTAATTATATTCTAATATTTGTGCTTTTCTGAGCAAATAAATGTTTACTGCCCAGTTAAATCGTTTTTTGAATCATTTTCTCAGGGCATTTTGCACAGTACTGTATGTCATGTTGGAACTAGACTCTAATCAGTCATAGGAGATTTATGTTCAGCTGAGTATTGATGTCACTATTTCTATTCATACAGTATAAAAGATAAAGGAACGATCCTTCAGTTGTGTTTGCATGTGATTTTTCGGTTCTACAGCCTTTCCTGCACAATATATTTACTTTTGCAATGTAAATTTTTATAAAGTTGGTACTGAAATTCACTGGTAACTGAAAAATTTCAGCTTACACAGTTGTGTTGAGATACAGTACACTCTAAACAATAGAAGTTCTAAAGGGTTCTTGCCCTGGTTTTAGGAAAACCAGTTGGTTTAAAACCTTTGCATCACATGGATGTTTTTTAACTTTGAAAGGTTGCTCATCATTGCATGTATCATTCTTGAAAGAACCGTCCACTGAAAGGTAGAGAACAGTAGTTCTTCTATGGCATAACTCCAAGCAACTCTTTGTGCCACATTTACCTTTAAGAGTGTAACTAATGGATAAGCTGTGAACAAAATTAGACACAGTCCAAAATGCAGGCAGGAAATATTCTCTGATCTATTAAATTTGAATTACGTTCTGGTTCTCTTTACATTTGAGCTGAATCCAGTGGACAGTCACTCTGTGATTTGTCTAAAGTTTCAAATCTTTCCCTCTGTTGGCTTAGATTTAGCTATTCACACTTTTAGAATTCAAAACGTTCTTGGTAGTCAATCATAGTTCACTACAACTTTTTGGATCTCTCTCTATATATGAAATGTTGTACAGGTGTAATGTCTTTATTTTCTGCTCATTGCAGAGAGTGTTAGAGGTACAGTGGCCCTAATCAGAGAGATGAGTGCTTCCTGCTGGGCCTCTGCTTTGCCTGTATCTGCTCTGTAGGAGCTGCTCTCTCTGCACTTTTAATGAGAGATTTCCCGGCACTGCTGAATCCTCCGGGTGCTGTTCCTGTACAGAGGCTAATGCGGTCTGACGGCCCAGGCCTTATTATAAGAGCCTGTAAACTGCTGGAGTTCAGAAATAAAGGGGAAACTAAAAGGCCTAACTTACTTTTATTCTTTTTGTCAAAATACATGTTATTTAGTCTTCCCGAAAGAGTGTGTTGAGTGCTGGAGTCAGTTATTAAATATTTGTGATTTTTGGAACCATTTCAGTGAATACTTTTAGTCGTGTTTTTGGTTTCTGTGGGTAAAGACTATTGTAATGTAATGTTTATAGCAATCCCGCACCCCAGAAGGATAAGCGGCTTAGAAGATGTGTGTGTGTGTGTGTGTGTGTGTGTGTGTGTGTGTGTGTGTTTACAGCAGTGTTTTTTGTTCGTTTATTGCTTGTATGTGACAAATTGAACTGTGGCTTAAAAGATGTTTGACCCATCTTCTAAATTGCTATGAGTTCGAGTTTTGCACTGTATCTCATACAGAAACAGACTACTCAGACTTTTAATGACTGGATTTCCAAAACTCTTCCCTCCAGTGAAGCAAATTGGAGCATGAAAAGTGAACCTCTGTTGACTTTATAATGAAAGAGGCTTGTCATTGTGGCTCTGGGTCAGAGTTTGCTCTTGGCCATTATGTCTGCTGTGTCATCTGATCTCACTATAATACGTTTTGCTTCTACAAGTACTACTGTCTTCAAAGTTTGGCATTTTAATGATTGCAAAAATCTCAAAAGAGTTTGATGAGGGAAACGTTCCACTCAATGGCAGTGAAGTCTCTTATGTGAGGTTTGTGTCTGCTTTTCATTTACATTACAATAAATTGTGTTTGAATAATGGCCCTGAAAAAAGACATCAACCTTAATTTGACAATTTTCTCTCCCTCTCCTCCCTCCCTGCACTCTCCCCCTCTTTTCTCCCCATCTCCCTCTCTCCCTCCCTCTCTCCCTTTCTTGCTCCCCATCTCTGTCTCTCACTCTTAATCCCGCTCTCTCTCTCTCTCTCTCTCTCTCTCTCTCTCTCTCTCTCTCTCTCGCTCTCGCTCTCTCTCTCTCTCGCTCGCTCGCAAACACCTACTTCCTGTGTTCTGTATTTAATCTACCTGATTTAGCAGAGATCATGCTCATTAGATCCTCCAGCTGTCTCCATCTCCTAATCCTAGCTTTTGCACTCAGCTCATACAGCAGTGCAGTGTTGTGGGGGGGTTGTACATGTATCTAATAGAGGGGGGGAGTCTTGTTGGATTTTTACATAGCTGTATAAATTATGCCGCCAGATCACCAGTAACAGAACTCCTGAAGGTGTGCCTGGCCCCAGGGAAGGTCAGATAGAAAATGGCCCATTTTCTGCTTTCCTCCCTTGTGTATTGGTCAAAAACAGAGGCTGTTTATTTATTTATTAAACCATTCAAAGGTTTGGGAAAGAGGTAAAGCGTTTATGTGATTAGCTGAGTATTTGCAGCCTGAATCCTGTTTTAGGTGCATTTTGTAAGCACTGAGTTGTTTATCTGGTGAGAGCAACCTGTAAAAGAATGCAGAATGAAGGAATACCGCTCCAACTTTTCAGGGATTGTATTTTGTTCTCCGTTCTAAGTTCTTAGAGTTCTAAGAGGATTGTGAGTGATTTCCCAATCCCAGCCTTGCAGCACTTGTTCACTACAAAGTATAGTTTTTCCCTGCTCTGATGTATCTAAAGCAGCGTAGCAAATTAATATCCTGTCAATGATCCACCCACAAAACTTGTCCAGCCTAGCACCCATTTAACCTAATTAAGGTTGTGGACAATGCAGAAAAAACAAAAAAGATATAAGTATAGTATTCACATTGGACTGCTGCGAAAGGATGGCTTGGACAATTATCGAGTCATCTGTGAGGGCAGCTTCTAATAATCTACTATAACCAGATAATTTGCTGTACATCTTTAAGTCTGATAAGGGGAGAAGAGCGCTGACTCTCATGACTGTGTGCCTGTGTATGTATTTACAGGTGCAGTGGAGTGGATGGTAGGCAGAGGAGCCAAGCGGTGACCCAGTGCCCTCTTCAGCCCACTCACAATCCCTGCTGGGAGGAGACCCTCTCAGTGGAGCTGCTGGATGTTGAAGCCCACAGGGAGGGTGAGCAGCCTCACAGCTAATGCAGCCAAACAGAATTATCACACTGAGTAATGCTATGTGGGTTTAAGTAGTCTGTAAATTACCCAACAGAAAAGGCCCTAGTCAGACATCCTGATGGACGTGACTTATCTGCACAAATGTGCAGCTGGCTTGCCTTGAACCTGTTATCTGAGTTCAGTCTTCCTGGCACTGCACCAGTACTGTGCTTTTTAAAATCACTGAGGCTTGATTTAAAACAGCAATATGAGGCAGTAGTAATAGGTTGGCAATGGTTTTATTGTTTTGTGAATTGAAAAACAATCTTGAGAATCTAATGAGTGAAAAAGGAAATTAAACAGAATTGATTTGGCTTACATCATGACCTACATGTAGACTAGTCACCATGGCCTACATGTTGACTGATTTGGACGCAGTCACTATTGAAGAGGAATACACGGGTTAGCCAGTTTTTTTAGGTACAACTACTTTGTGCCCATACTCATTGGCCATTTTATTAGGTAAACCTACCATGCACTTTGTAGATTTACAATTACTGACCACTGCCCATCTGTTGCATCCACCATGTCTAACAATGGAAAGAGACCACCATATGACCACCACTGACCAGATATTATTTGGGTGGTAGATCATGCTCAGCACAGCAGTAATACCAGCGTGGTAGTTTTTGGTGGTGAGTGTGACGCTGGTTTGAGTGGATAAGACAGAGCAGTTTTGCTGGAGTTTTTTAAACACAGTGCACACTTATTGCCGATTGTATAGACTCACCTACCTTGATTAGATTAGATTAAGATTAAGTGACCCTTATTAGTCCCGCAACGGGGAAATTTCACCTCCGCAATCTAACCCATCCGTGCAGTGAAACACCACATACACACTAGGTTCCCTAACCTCCAGCCCACGAGTGCCCCCGGTCACCTGATGGTTCACCTTGTAAGTGTACGGTAAGATATGGTACAAAAGAGTAGAAGAGAAAAAATCTGATTAGTTTGTTAGTCTGTCCAGCATCTATTAGCTTAGGAACAAAAATTTGTCATGCTCCGTTCTTTTCTTTTAGATGTACTGTCTGAAATGACTGGTATGATAAATGACAAATATAAAAAATCAGATTTGTGGTGAATCACAAAGCAGTCCAGATGCTGAACAAACATGTATAATGAAACAAAACCTAAAAGAGTAATTAGTGACTAAATGACACACCTCTTAGTCATTGAATTCAGGTGTTTCATTCGGTCCCATTGCCACATGTGTATAAAATCAAGCACCTAGCCATGCAGTCTGCCTTTACAGAATGGGTTGTTCTAAAAAGCTCACTGAATTTGAGCGTGGTACTGTAATAGGATGCCACCATTCAGTCAGTTCACGAAATTTCTTCCCTCCTGGGTATTCCACGATCAACTGTGTTTGGTATTATTGAAAAGTGGAAGCATTAAGGAGCCACAGCAACTCTGCCACAGAGTGGCAGAACAAAGTGGGGTCACTGAGTGCTGAGGCGCCGAGTGCATAAAAGTCACCAACGCTCTCACCAAACCTCTTCTAGCATTAACATCAGCACAAAAACTGTGCGCCGGGAGCTTCATGGCATGGGTTTCCATGGCCGAGGAGCCATATGTAAGCCTTACATCAACAAGCACAATGCCAAGCGTCAGATGGAGGGGTGTAAAGCACATCGCCACTGGACTCTGGAGCAGTGGAAATGTATTCTGTGGAGTGACTAATCACACTTCTCTCTCCTACAGCCTGATGGACAAGTCTGGGTTTGGTGAATGCCAGGAGAACGTTACCTGCCTGACTGTATTGTGTCAACTGTAAAGTTTGGTGGAGGAGGGATAATGCTATTGGGTTGTTTTTCAGGGGTTGAGTTCCAGTGAAGGGAAATCTTAATGCTTCAGCATACCAAGACGTTGTATGCTTCCAACTCTGTGGGAACAGTTTGGAGAAGGCCCTTTTCTGCTCCAGCATGACTGAGCCCCAGTGCATAAAGTAAGGTCCAAAAATAATTTGGTTTGGAAGAACTTGACTGGCCCACACAGAGACCTGACCTCAACAGCATCGATATTAATACCTATGGTTTCAGAATGAGATGTCATAAAGCTCCTGTAGATGTAATGTGTAGGTGTCTCAGTAGTTATGTCCATATAGTGTATCATTGAGAATAAGGAGAAATATTATCATTTGAAACTGATTATAAGAAAATACAGAAAAATACAAGTTCATCAAAAGTTTTCTTGAGTACAAGTAAACTGAGTAAATGTAACTGTTTTTGTGGTCATAAATGTAGCACACAGTTCTGTTCCGACCACAGGACTGCTGTGATCAGTGGTTGTCCTTTGTTGGTACCTTTCTATTGATGGATAGGGTGGCGGGCTATTGTTAAGTAGTTCAGCAAGTACCTGTAATGTGGTCAGTAATTGGAAACATACCATTTTCATCTATATAGTAGGTGAAGCTGGTAAAATGGCCTGTGTAAATACAGTGTAAGTGTATCTTATTAACTGGCAACTTTGAGTAGATTAACTAAACTGGTTGTGACTCCAGTACTTTTAAAGCTTATGTCCATATAGTTGGAATCACACTGAGGGTTTGCGTATCTGCATCCTCCTGGGCAGCTTAGATGTTCTCTTGCCTCTTGTTGCAGGTTGTTCTCAAACAGTTGTGTAATACATGCTTCACAGCACCAAACTTTTCAAACTGCAGAATGCCTGATGTACAGCAAACAAGGACAGTAGCACTCCTTATTAGTATTCTCAGTGTGCAGGTGTTTTGAAATCTTTTTCTCCCCAGTAGGGAAATGACATCAAGTGAAAAAAAATAAATAAATCTGATGGATATTTCTGAGCCGTGGTTGCACATGACTGCCCTTTACTGAATGTTAATCGAACAAGTTTTTTCTGCTGTGAGGTTAGAGAGAGAGAGAAGAGCAAAAGAGACAGAGAGAGAGTGTGTGTAACAGGAAAATCTATCTGTGTGAAATTGCTTTGCCTTGATCTGTGAGTCGGCTCTGTGAAAGGGGTTTCTGTGTTGATGATAATTGCGGTGCGTGGGCCTGATTATTCCCGCCGCATGCTTTCTGCCTGTTAACTGACAGAATAATTACACACTGGGCCTTAATGGATCTCCCAAAGTGAGCGGTGGGAATGATTGCTTTGGATGTGTTGGGAATGCTGATGGAGGCAGAAGAGAAGATCGCTGGAGCACCTCAAACAGTCTGAATCCTCCAAGTGTCTGCTCAGCCTCTTTTAGTCAGCTTTATGTGCCCCTCCCGGGCTGGGGAGCAAACTCATTGGCTGACAGTAAAGTCAAGGGGTTGTCCTTGAAAATTGGCATGAAGACGTCAGATGTCTTGCTGAGCAGTCTGGAAACAGGTTCCTGAACATGGCTGGACACTGTTGGGAATGGCCATGGCTTGTTGATTTAAAGGAAAAAGATTGCTTATCAGCGCCAAGGCCTTTCCAGAAATTCGCCAGAAGCTTAAGGAAATGCTGACAGGGCGGTTGTCACACTGCACTTTCAACAGATTGCTCCAAGAATTGTGTCTCCTTCCACTTCCTGTCAGAGGAAGCCTCTGCCCAGAGCGGTTCGGACTGAGCCCAGGGCTGGATGTAGAACACCAGAGGAAGCCAAAGGTTCATTCTCAGTTCAGTACACTTGTTGACACAAAACTAGTTTGACACATTGCACGAAACAGTGCTGAAAGCAGCAGTTAAGAGAAGCCTCTCTGTTCTCTTTGATAGGGTATTACCTTAGCACAGTCTAAGTACAGAAACTGGCATAGAAAGTGCTGTAGTTTTATTTATACCTGTCACGATCACTTACCTTACTGCTGTCCTTAAAGTACAACTCAATAATCTGAATCCTATTTTAAGCTTTTCATTATGTTAAGGTCTTTTCCTAACCATGTGCTTATGCAGCATTCTTTTTGTTGTGTGTGTGTGTGTGTGTGTTACTGGCTTGCAGATGTGGTTATAAATGTAGGACATGGTCCATCTAAAGAGTTGCTGGCCCATTACCGGCTGCCATCAGCTTCCTTGAAGCCCTTTCAGCACTACCACCTGGAGCTAGTACAGGTATGATCTAGACATACATCATGCTTTTAAAACTAAACGATCCTAAATTGTTCTTGGATTGGGTATATTGTTTTAAGAAAAACCTTTTATTGATGTAGAACCTTTATATTATGTGGAGGTTCTTTAAACTTCTTGCATACGTCCTGCTAAAGTTCTTCACACTTGCACATCTCATTTACAAAAATGGCTCTTTACAGAATCATACATTATGAAGTTCTTTAAGAAATCAAAAGTGATTCCTCTTTGTTTTTGTTTCAAATCAACTTTTTTGACACCTTTATTTTGAAGAGTGCATGTATAGTACTTAAAAGTGATTCATTGAGTAGTGCGGCTGGGTTCCTTTTGGCTGGGTGACCAGTGTCCTTTTTGTGTGGAGTTTCCATGTTGCAGGCGCACTGGAGATGCTAAATTGCCCCTGTGTGTGAGTGTGTGTCCAGGGTGCTTTCTGTCTTTCACCCAATGAGTGCTCAAGCAGTCCCCACGATCCAGGAGAATAAGCAGCTTAGATTTTGTGTGTGTGTGTGTGTGTGTGTGTATGTGTGTGTGTGTGTGTGTGTGTGTGTACTTCTGGAGTAAACATGCTTACTCTCATCTTACAGCAGTGCTGAAATCCTCTTTCTGATGATTTATCTTGAAGGTGGGAAGAACTTCAATTGCAACAAAAATTGCAACAGCTTTGGAGTAGATTTTTCAGGGCAGGCTGTTTTGAATTTTTTATTATTATTATTATTATTATTATTATTTTGGTAGCCAGTGAATGCAGAAGACAGGCAGCGAGTTCCTGTTACTGCCAGGAAGCTAAAGTTAGCAAAGTAGCTTCCTTCTCTAAATACCTCAGCTTGGCTTCTTTTCTCAGGCTGTAATGGTAAAAAAGTCTTTTGCATCTACTTTGTGTTGAATAAACATTCTTTACCATTTTGAACAGTGACTGAGATTAGAGTCAGACTTATGTACTTGTATTTTGTCAAAGCAGTGAGGCTGAGGGACATTTTGAAAACTGTATACTATCTTTACTATTTAAAACTGTAAAATACTAACTTATTAAGGCTGCAATGCACCTGTAAAAATGTGAGATGCAGTTCGTACTACTGCTTCATTCTTTTACACCTCCTCCCATCCTGCACCTTCTTAAGTCAGCGGGCTTGCCCATAGCTGGCTCAGCAGTGTCACATGCTTAGTTTCAACCAGTCTCGTACGGCTCCTTTACCCATTAAACTCTAAGGGCCTGTATGTGAACCCTCTCTTTGATCCAATACAGTCTAACTTCATAATTTCCATGTTAGTTTCACAGTATTATAAGAAAGTATTTCTAGCATTAAAAGTGTTAAGCTTAAAAAAGTTGAGCATCATTAAGTCTGTCTTGCTGTCAGCGTTACAGCTCAGTCTATGTTACAACTCATCACCCTATTCTTTCCTATTCTCTATCAGCTTAACTATTCCTCTGGTCAGACAGACCTAATATAGCTGTGGTTTAAGGGGGGCCGACAGGCTGCCAAAGCCAGTGTGTGATTTTAGTGGGCCTCATCATCTGCACTGAGAGTCTCTGTTGGGGGGGCTAGGTACCTGACACACACTTGGGCTGGATTGAGCGAGAGGAGCAGCCTCAGGCACAATCCATCAAACAGGACCTGTGTGGGCTTTACAGAGTGCCATGAATAAACCATGTTCCCTAGAACCTTTCTAGAGCAGGAGAAGATGTCTGTTATTACATGGGTTGTGGGTTAATGGCATTTTGAACAGTGGTGATCAATCTGTAAGGGAAAGTGATGTATCTCCAAAATGGTAACTTTACAATAGAAGGAAAAAACCCACTTTACTTATAATGTAAGTCAATGGAACCAGACTTTTTTCCCACCCAAGTCATTTTAAGATGTTTCTTTTGGTCTTTTGAAATGTAAAGAGTGCTTCACTTTGAAAGCATGCATTCAGTTTGTATTGTAAAGGTTGCACGCCCATCTGTATGCCTTCGAGCTAGTTTTATTCTTCAGGCAACTATACAATGAATGGATTCTTCAGACAGCAATAGAAAAGGCTGATCAATTGAAAAAGGCTCTGCACCACAGTTGCCTTGTTTATATATTTTGTTGATACATTTTGCCTTTCAAGTTTCTTAAAGGGAAATTCCACCAATTTTTTTTTCATTCTGAATAATTGAACCATTGAGATGCAGAGTCATTCAGAGTGGTCTGACTTGAAACATGCTGTTCTTGAAAAACATAATGATTTTTTTTTTTCCTCTTTAACAGTGATGGTGTTAGAAGCCAGATATCTGAAACGTTACTATATGAAATGGTTGCTAGTATGCTACCTGTTGCCTGATACCATTATCATAATTTATATAAAACGCAGAAGACACATTTAGGTTCACTTGTTGTTTTTTGCAAATGACTTTGCTTTAACTCATTGAACTAGATGTTACTTTTAAAATTCTTAAAACTCTTAAAAATAAAGCAAGGGCTTGGAACCAGAAGGGCATAAGTGAAACTGGCCAAATTTAACGGGACCACAAAAACAAATTTCAGCCATAATTTTACTTGTGTATACTTGAAATAACCTTGAAATAATTTACTTTTAAGTGTGAAGAGGTTTCTCACACCTCCACATTTCTTCTCCAAAAATATTTCTTTAAAGAACCATGTTTAGAAGGTTCACTAGGGCAGACCAACCCTGGTCATGGAGGCACAGTGCTCTGTACGTTTTAGTACTTTTACTGCTCCCAACACACCTGATCCAACTAATCAGCTTGTTAACAGCCTTACTGATTTGCAGTGGGTGTGTTGAAGCAGGAAAAGCACCAAATTTTTCAGGGCATTGTGCCTCCAGGACCAGGGTTGGGAAACACTGCATTAGGGACCCACAAGTGGTTCTTCTTTGGCATCTCTCCAGACAACCCTTTTTGGCACCTTTATTTTCAAGAGTGTAGTGTTTAGAGCGCTTTGGTTTTTGTGAAGAATGCTCAAGCTCCCTCAACCAACGCCCCCCCCCTCCCCCCCAGCCATCTTTAGATTCAGTATTGATTCTTGGCAGATCTGGTGTAGACACACAGTAGGTTTGTTGTAAATTCCATGTAGGTTTTTCTTGCCTCAGCTGGGACTGTGAGTCACTGTCATCTACATATAATCAGCAGAGAGGGGATGAGATCAATGACATTTATTCAAATGCAGCACAGCTTGTGCCTGAAGTGCTGAGCTGCATCATCTGCTGCCGTCAACAAGAGGAGTTTGGAGGAGAGTGTGCATAGAGGGAGTGTGGAAGATAGGCAGATGGGTGGTTTTGGCTGGCGGACATTTCAAGAACAAACCAGGGGTGTACTCTAAAAACAAGGGAGAAGGAAATAGAGAGGGAGAGATCGAGAGAGATGTTATTTCCGTTCCTCAACTTTACCCTGTTTTGCCCTTTAGCTGTCAGCATCTAGCTGAAGCCCACAGAGCAGAGAGGGTGTGAGTTCACACATGATTGCGCTTCTCCTCTCCACTCTGAAACAGCTCTCTGCACCAGGGCCAGCAGACTAACACACATAAATTATTCATCAGTCGTGCTGCGGCCATAGCACTGCAGGCACTGTAATTTCACTCTCTGTTGTTAGGCTGCAGTGTATTATAATGGACATAATTAGCAATATACCAGTTTCATTTTTTCCCTTATCTTGAAGAATAATTTTTTTGTGTGCTTTAGAACCAAAGAAAGTGGAGGATTTAAAATGATTACGACGAACGCAGTTTGGCTACATTTGTCAATAGGAATTAAATAAAAGACATGGATTAATGGAGCGAAGGCAGAATGACTACAACTAGTTATTCATCAAACCAATAATAAGCGGCATGCTCTGTTCTGATGAAGCCATGCTCAGAGGTCGCTGGGACCCTAGCTGGCGGTGCTTTATGGCCCCCATAAACATTGATCTCTTCAGTGTTGTTTTATTGAAGCACACTCTAGAGAGTGCAGAGCTGTAATCAAAGGTGCTGTATGGCCTTGTGCACCCCTGCCCTGCCCCCGCAACCACACACAGATAGATGACCACATTTGAACACCACCCATCTCTATCATAAGGAGGGGTAATATGTAGAGACTTTATGTTCTGCTTCCTTACTGTGGATTCAATGACTCCTAGTCTGTTTAATCTGTAAGAGGAAATAGTGAACATTTTAACAGCCAACAGCACTAGTTGTTTATGGTGGACCAGATCTGCCAAAATGAAAAATAAGTGAAATTAAAAATAAATGACTCAGTAAATTAATATATGAATAAGAATGGCAAAAAATAATGATAAATCTGAAAATAAATTTACATAGAAATTACTATATTAATGAATAAAACCTTACATAAATTCATATCTCTGCATTTACTTATGTCTATTTAGTACTTCCCCTCCTCACTAATTTTTGTATTTATTTATTTTGTTATTTGTTTCTTTAACATTTTTTTCTTTTTTTATTCATTTCCATAACTATTCATTTCTATACTTATTTATTTCCCTATTTATTTATTTCTGTATTTCCTTGTCCTTATGATTATAAAGGGGCTGTCAATCAGTTATGTCACGGCGTCTTAATATTCCTATTGGTTGATCGATATCAGATTCTGTAGATTGATTGTACACGTCTTGCTCTATCAGCGGTAACTAAGGACAAGACAGTACAGTAATGGCTGCTTACAGGTAACAGACAGCCAGAGATATGAGAATTTTGGCTGATCTGGCTGAGAATGCAAGTACGGATTATTTACTCTTTCTTGTGGAGGCTGTGGCGGACAGTTTGTTCCGTTTTGCTGCGTCTGCTGACACAGAGGTCGACCCTGCAGTGTTCAGAATTTTGGAGGAGGTGGTTCATCATCTCTTTCTGCAAAATTCAGATTACACCCAGACATTTGCATGCCCTTCTCACATACTGTCTGTGGAAGCAATCGATTTATTTATTCGAGTTATTTATCGGCAGGTTTGTCTGTCCGTGACATTGCAATTCTTTTCGGAGTTGGTGAAAGAACAGTTTAATCAACTCTTCTCCTCCTGGTCTTGATTGCTGAGCCTGAATGTGAAAAACATGCCCCCTCATTATCATATGAACAGAGAAATACAGAAATAAAATGATTAAAATGATTTAATGAAAAAAAAATGAATTAATGAATCAACAAATAAAGCGAACAGTTGTTAAAAATATAGATATGGAAAAAAATATATAAAAATGAACGTAGGCATTAATAAATAAATAAATAAAGTTGAGAAATATATAACTGCAGAAAAGGGAAAAATGTGTATAATTACAATCAAAATAAGCAATGTATACTTTATATAGTTATTTTTATTTGTTGATTAATTTACTGTCATTTATTTTTTAATTTTATTTATTTTTCAAGTACATTGATTCAAATATACTTTGTTGATGAATCAGAATGATTACTTGATTAAATTCTTCTACTATGTGTCTTCTACAGTGTTTTTATAATTTTCAAATTAAGTGTGTTGAAATACTTCTAAATGTATCTTTTTTTCAAGAAAGCTATTGGTAAGGCTATGCATAGGTTATTATTGTTTATTTAAGTCTGTTTTTATTTTTAGTATACATTTTGTAAAAAGCTGAAGGTATTAATCTGGTCCAAATAAAAAAATAATAAATAATAACCATCAATACATCAGTTCTAAACCTGCATGCTCTCATACTACAGTAGTGCTGCAGTGGTCTCTAAAGCCCTTTCTTATGGTGTGTCTAAAAAGTGTGAGGAGTTTTTGAAAAACTACAACTGCTTTTGGGTTGCTTTTGTGGGTGGGCTGTTTTAAAGTGTTCTGTAATAGTTGTTACAATGAAGGGAATGAATTAGTGACTTGTCGGATGACGAGGCCAGAAGGCCAAAAGTTGATGTTAGCAAGGCAGCTACCTGCCTATCCATAGATACTTTACTTCAGTTGTGCTTTTTGTTCTCTGGCTGAAAAACTTTGGCATCCATTTTGTGCTGAATAAAGATAGAATTGCTGTTTAAGATTTTGTGTGACGTCCCAGGTAAGAGCTAACTTGGTTGATTGTATTAATGCATTCTGGGTATTGTAGTGAGAGACAATATGAAAATTATATGAAATTGTAAGTTCTGTCAAACCTGTGGCTGAGGTATATTGAACAACAGAATACTGTGTAACAACAAGTAACATGTTAACCACTAGATTTAGGCTGGATTGCACAGTTAATCATCAAAATAACTAGTAGATTTTTTTGAATACTAATATAATTAATGACCTCTGTAGTCCAAAACGAAAATCTGGATATTACTTTATATAAATGTAGTCACTATGGCAGACCTGCATAAACAGTAATCTGTTTGACTTGCTGTTTGCCTTACACTAATCCTGCACTTGGTCTGTGTTCTCCAGCCCCACAGGGCAGTGCCCACAGGGGTGCGACTGTATGTTACCATGGTGCGTAAACTCAGCCACCTCCCCAGGCTCCCCTGCTTCTCCTTCACTGGCTTTGAGGTTTGTATAGCCTGCTACCAGCCACACCGATGCTTGGCTGCTGCAGTTCCTGAGATTAGACATCTTTGTATGATTACATAAAGAGCTTTGCCATGCTTATGGTGTGTTGCTACATTACTAGCTAATGGGGTTAGGACAGCCTATATACTGTAAGTGGATTGCACTTTGTAAGTTGGGCAATGTTAAAGCACTCTGGTATATAGATTTATTTAAAACCTTAAACTGGTGGTGGTGATGATTATGAATAAACCTATTCGTATGTCAGAAGGGTTTTTTTTTTTTACAAATTGGATCTTCAGTAACTCATATCTGATCTCCATTTTTTCATTTCTGGGATCCTCTAGTAATTGCGATAAAAAAAGCTAACTTAATCACGTCCTCTCCCATTTACTGAATCTCTCCATTGATCTCCTGCATGCCAGGAGGTATTGAATATCAGATGAGTTTAAAATGCTGCTACGTGCGTCTGCATTCTTCTAAGAGGCATGTGGGCGTGCTTTGTGGGCAGGATTAGCACTAAAATGAGTGCTGGTCCACCTTTGCCAGTCAGTGTCATTACTCGTATACTCATACACTTCCTGTATCTGTCTGCCTTTCTCTCTGCCCCTCACCAACTCTGCTTCTCTTTCTTAGTCTCTCTCTCTCTCTTTCTCTTTTTTTTTCTCTTTCTCTCTCTCTCTCTCTCTCTCTCTCTCGCTCTCCCCCTCTCCCTCTCTCTTCCTTGTTCTCTCTCCTCCTCACTTTCTCTTCTCTTTTTCTCTCCCTTTATTTTTTCTCTGTCTCCAGCCTTCTCCCCTCTCTTGGGAGTCCTCTTCCCCATTTCCTCTCTCTCTCTCTCTCTCTCTCTCTCTCTCTCTCTCTCTCTCTCTCACTTTCTCTCCCTTTTTCTCTCTCACTTGATCACTGTCTTTCTTTTTTTCTTGCTTTGCTCATATTTGTCTCTGTCACTCTGTATCTTTCTGTTTCTGTCTCACTTTTTCTCTTGCTCTCACACTCTATATTTCCCTCTCTCCCCCCTTCATCTCGCTCACTCTATATTTCCCTTTCTTTCTCTTTTTTCTCTTTGTCTTCCTCTCTCCTTCGCCATCCTTACTTTCTCACCTCTTTCCTTTCTTTATTTCCCTCTATTTTATTCTCTCGGTTTCTCTCATTAGTCTCTCTCTCTCTGCCTCACTCATGTATGCTATATGTTTTTTCTTACTCTCACTATCAGGTGCTGCTGTGGTCCATGGACAGCCCGTTAAAAGATCCGGTGGGAGCTTTATTAGCTGTTGCTCGTGTTGTTGCTGATTATGACTCATACAGGTATATACCCTCTCTATGAAGTGCTTTAACTAAACCAATTGCTCCTGTATGTTGTTGTACGCTGTAGGCGGGTGCCTGCTGTTCTCTGAGGCCTCAGAGGTGGAACTGTGCATTTAAAAGCATCTTGTAGCACTTCATGCTAATGCATTTAAGGTCCATGACATCAATTAACACAGACAGTATAGAGTGAGCCACTGCTCCAAATGAGCTCTCTAAAAGCTTGGATCTGATAGGGGTGTTGGTAGGAATCTATAAGTCACCTTTCCCTCTTGGGGTTAGGACTGGACTTCCTCTAACCTTTAAGTGCTGGTGACAGGCACAGTGGACTAGAGTTTAGAAAGCTTCTCTCATATGTTTCACAAATCTGTTTATGTATCTTCTTTAGGTATTGATTGGAGGCATAATTGCAGCTAATGTCCACTATCCATCTCGTTATCCGCCCTCAGTACCATGTCAGTACCGTGACTTTTTTTTTTCTTTTACAGAAAAAATGATAAGATTAATTATGTTTGTTCCTTTTGAATCAAACTTTTTTTTAAGAGAAACTATTACTTTACCACCAATTTCCATATCTTAGTTTACATACTGCAGTCTCATTTTGATTCTAGCAGTCTTTGGGTTTCACAATGATGTCTGGATACAATGTAATAGAATTAAAAATACAACAGGTGAAAAATAGCTAGGAGTTACCAAAGCTAGCATCTGCACTGCATCCACCATATTTGTTTGCCTTTGCAAGGACTCAGATCAGGTGGAATGAAGGGACATGTCAATAACAAGCTGACAGGAGGCCCATCTATACACAGACTGGCATTCTGTCCTTTTTTTTTTTTGGACATATTGTACCATTTCTTTGATGACTTTATTCCAAGCAGTGCGAAACCCACAGGGCCTTCTAGGCCTTGAAAGATTTCCTGGATTTACAAAATACATGTCTGTAATTTTAAGTTCATTTTTATTTAATAGCGTCATCATGTTTGTTATGTGCAAGTACTGCAGTAAAACTCTTATTTCATTGTTGAATTTTGGTCAAAAACAAAAAGGTTACATTCTTGCAACATCTCATTAAAAATTGTCCAATCAGGATTTTTTTCTCTGTAGTCTCTGTGTAGATACAGCTAAGCAAGTTCTCCCATGAGATCTTCAAGAGCCAGAGAGAAGGCTTTACACACAAGATTAACTACAACCCTGTTTCAAAAAAAAGTTGGGACGCTATCCAAAATGTAAATAACAGAATGTAATGGAATGCAAATCATTTAAACCTTATATATAATTGTAAAGAGTGCAAATACAGTATATCAAATATTGAAACTGAGAAATTATATGTATAAAATGTTTTTTTTAAATATATTCCCATTTTGAGTTTGATGCCAGCAACACATTTAAAAAAAAATTGGGACAGGGGCAGCAAAAGACTGGTAAAGTTGTTTAATGCTAAAAAAACAAAAACAAAAAAACACCTGGTAGAACATCTCACGACTAATTCGGTTGATTGATAACAGGGGGTTCACCACTTTGTGAAAGACTGCACAGGTCTCAACGTAGCAAAGAACTTTACCGTGCAAAGAAGAGATCAAATATGAACAGGACGCAGAAACGCCGCCGCCTTCTCTGGGCCAGAGCTCATTTAAAATAGACTGAGGCAAATTGAAAGTGTCTTGGGGCCCAATAAATCAAAATTTGAAATTCTGTTTGGAAATCATGGATGCCGTGTTCTCGGGACTGAAGAGGAGTGGAACCATCTATCTTGTTATCCACGCTTTTTCTAGCATGCTCTTATATTAACACAGCCTAATTTTGATATATATATATATATATATATATATATATATATATATATATATATATATGTATGTATATATATATATATGTATATATACACATATGTTTTTGATCATGTATCGTTAAATCTTCCCTACATATATATCCAATTAACAAAGGTTTCTAATGTTAGATGTCCATGTCTAAAACCAAGAGATCATATAGAGAGACAGTTTGTGTGTACCACCCTGTCACAGTGAATCACCCCACCACAGGGTCATTTGGTTAAAAAATAATGGAAAGGGAATGAAATGCTCCTTGAATTGATGATGAATAACATTCTTGATTTTGTGGACAAATCAAATTATTGTAACTTTTATTTGAAATTTTGAAGTGAATTAGTATTTTTGTATAAACATTGAGGTTATTGACAAGTCAAATTCATATTTCAAGATAAAGAATCTGAAAAAAAAATCTGATTACATACTTTCTAATGATGGTTTCCAAAAAAGGACATTTTAGTAGTAGGAAAATGTTAGATTCAAAATGTATTTCCTGTAATACCACTCAAATAGTGTACATATTGTCCATAACCAGGTGGTACAAGAACGACTCTCAGGTCAGACTAAAAAGGATAATAATAATAAGGATGTAATGCCTGAGATGTGAAGTTCAAGGTGCAACATGCCCAGGCTGTGTGACTTAGACGTTAAAAAAATTAAAAATTCAGTCGAGTGTAAGAATCTTTTACACTGCAGGAAGTGGATGTTGTGCTGCTGGAATATTGTGTGTGTGGATACAGGTGGACTGTCTTTTTCCATCCCTTCAGCAGGCCCTGCCACACACACACTGTGCTGCTAATAATAGTGAGGCTGTTGCCAGGACATACTACTGGAAGTGTGAATCCATGTTTTATTTATTTTTCCTTTCCATTCCCAAATGACTTTCCTGTGCCAGCATTATAACTGTAATCTCAGGATGGCTGCTTGGCTGTCACGTTCACGTTTTCATTTTCTGGCTGTGTGTTCTGGATCAGGGTGTGTGTATGCGTGTGTGTCTGTGTCATCATTCTGGCAATGTCTTGAACAAATTGCTCTTCTTATGTTACTGTCAGTCACAGTAAAAACTGTTACAGAATTGCCTCTTTTCTCTTCTGTGCTCTCTCTTTTCCTATATGTAAAGTCTAGTAGAGCCTGATCTATATGGAAAGTTTATATTGGCCAGTATAATAATTACATGGTCAAAAATTAAACTTCTTCGTTCTCCAATATTTGCCAGCTTTCTGTTCTTACATTTCCCAAACTCAAATAAACAGCAGGAACTCTGAAATAAAGATTATAATGTGAACAAGCTTCCCAGAATTATTAATGGTTTTGGTTTGGTTTTTGTTAAATGATTTCTGTTTATATATTATACACTGAAACTTAGGTTTGTATGCATTTTAGGTGTTGTATTTTGTGTTCTTATGAAACAGTTCATCTTTGATTGCCTTAGAACTGTAATAGATCTGAAAAAAATGGTTGCTGTCAGTATAGCAGTCTTTGTAAAGCATGTATGAAACTGTAGAGCACAACACCAATCAGACGTGTGTTTATTACTATATAAAACAGTATGTCAGTTGGGCTCTGACTTCTGTTTATTTTTATTTATTTACTTATTTATTTTTAAAGAACTGTTCGTAATGCTCTGCTGATTTGTGTGTTTACAGGGACAGCATGCTGCTGTGTGAGCCCAGGGCAGCAGGTGTGTGTGTAATGTCAGTTCCATTCCCTCGGCCTTCTGAGTCTGCTCTCACTGTCCCGTCCCTCAGTGGTCAGGGGCAGCCTCAGGTCAGACAGGCTTCCTCTACACACCCCAGCTCAACACTCACTCTGACCTCATCACTGTCTTGTTCTTACCTCATTTTGTTCTGAATCATCTACACACATGGCACTCACTCCAGTAAAAAGCCTCTTACAGATGCCTGTCATAAATCATGAGTGCCAGGGAACAGTGCCTCACAACAAAGTGATCTTGGATTTGGTTATACACAGCACATGGACTGGCAGAAAGGGACAGGTTTGGCAAGTCTGATTGGATAAAGCACTGTGTGTGCTCATTTATTTACATACATTTTCAGGACTTCTAAATTTCCAGAGAAAAACAGGAATGACCTACAATATCAGGACCAGCAAACTGGTTCTGACATTGTAAAGTGCTTTTGAAAAAAACAATGTTATTTATTTATTTATTTTATTTGTTAGTGGGGTCAAGATTAGGTTTAGAGGTCTAGACATTTCTTAACACTTGCATATAGTACTGTGCAAAAGTCAGAGACCAACAATCGTTCATTTAATGTCCAGGCAAGTTGACTATTTAATCATCAGCAGTTAAATCTGCAGTTAATCATTTTTCATGAGATATTTCTGAGGATTTTAGATATAGGATAAGCCACTCGCATAAGGAAGGAGAAAGTCAAAGGACAATATGTGCTTAAACAGAAGTTGAAATTAAAAATATTGAGAAAATGAGACTCCTAACAACTATACAAGACCTGGTAGACCACCAGAACTGTCATCGTCAGATAAACTGTACTTAAAGCTTTTACCTTTGAGAGATAGGAAAAAAAATCAAGCTCCACTCTTGCTTCAGATCTGAAAAAATCCACAGGTGTTTCTGTCCATCCTTGCACTGTGAGAAGACAACTCAACACTATGAGTCTGAAAGGTTGTGTATCCGTTAAGAAACTGTTACTGAGAAAAGAAAATAAAAAAGAAAAAGAAGAAAACTTGCAAATCAAACAAATAAGCTGCTGTTTTTCTCAGAACACTCAACTGACCACCCCCGAGTCCAGACCTCAACATCACTGAATGTGTTTGTTTGGTCTTTGAGAAGTAGAAAATGCAACTGACTTGTAAGACTGAACTTTGTAAGTGTGGAAAAATATCCCTGCAGATTTCTTTGAAAACTGAAAGCAAGTCTCCCAAAAAGAATAGAAGCTGTAAAAACACAAAGAGTGGACACAGTAAATACCAGAACATTTGGTATTATTTTTTGTTCTGATGACTTCTGTATAATTTTCTGTTAAATAAAAGTTTTGCCATTTTGATTGGAAATAAATGGTCTCTGACCTGTGCACAGTGCTGTATAAAACATATGGTACATTATGGTATGACCCCATATCCTAACAAGGTGTAAAAAAAAATGTGTGTGTGTGTGTGTGTGTGTGTGTTTTTTCCTGCTGCTTTCTGTTGCTGGGGAGAGGCTACTGCCGTCACTTCCCTTACCCTACTGCCAACACCCTTCTCTCTCATGCTTTACTTTAGCGCACACACACACACACACACACACACACACACACACACAGCTCTCTCTGACTGGCCTTGCTTGGTGACATGTCATCTCCTGCTCTCACTTGAGGCTAAAGTGAATCCCACAGAGACTGAGCCATATTGATCTATCTGTTGAACTGTTCGACTTCATTTATCCAGCCGTCCATCCGTCTTCTATTCTGCCTTTCTTCACATCCATTCATTTGACTGTCCTCGTGCAACTATACATCCCTGTGCTTTAATCAGTACGACAGGCTCTAATTTCTGTGTGTGCATGCGCTCATTTGATCTTTTCTGTAAACGTGCACAGATTTTCAACTTAGCACAACAAAGAACTGCAGTAATGTTTTGATATTGTAATTTTGTGTGAAGGGCTTATGTGCAAGCTTGTCTCCATGTATTACATAAATAGCAGGTACCCACCACCTGCCTTGGAATGTGCAGCCTGGCATGTTAGCGTTATGTATGTGTGTGTGTGTAGGCGAGAGGAAAGGTCTGACATGCTGGTCCTGTACCATCTGCGCCCAGTCAGCGCTGTGGCATCCCTCCATTTGCAGGACCTTCTATAGCCACTCATATAGCACTACCCACTATCCACAGTCACTGCTTGAATATTAGCTGTGAAAGCAAGATCAGAGAATTAAGTCGTCTTTTTTTTGTTTCAGTAAAATGCCAATTTCATTAACAGACTATAATTAATGATTTAACTTCACAATTTCATATTCCCCACTGCAGAGATTGTGATTTCAGTCCAGTTTTTCTGCTCAAGTTTCATACGAACCTTAAGGACTCAACAGTTTTCCGATGAGGAACATTTAATTTTTATCTAGAATAGAAGCCATGGGGAGTTACTGAACTCTGCAAATAAACATTCAAAAATGTGACTAAACTCTAACAGTTCAGGTCTCAGCATGAAACACACATCATAGAATTACTTACCACAGCTGTTGTTATCATGTTTTATCCAACTTTCAAACACTAGAACAACACAGTAAAAAAGTAGTTCCGGTTATGTTTGTTTTTCCCCCAAGGTTTTCTCATATCCCTGTGTGAATGTGTTATACAGATTTACAACTTCTTTTACAGTAAGCTGAAGAATTTATTAAGTAATCTGCAAAATATGTTTTACATACACATTTACTGTCTTCAGCTGCCCAGTGACTTCTGTTGCAAGTATTTTTGTTTGTATGTTGTTGTTTTTTTTTTTCTTCAGTCAACAGGTATAGAGGTAAGAGTAGGCTGGAGTTATCCTTTAAAAGATTAGTAGTGATGTTAGAGGACACAGATTTTAGATCAGAGCTTGCTTATCATCACTGCATTGTCAAAATCCTTAAAATTGGCGTTCATTTGCATGATTAGAATGTCAGTGTGCTGTGTAATTGCCCCATGTAATTATGCTGAAGAGGGAATCAATGCAGACCGGAGGACTCACTGTCACTATTGACCTTCGTGTGTGCTCAGGGCGGCCGGTGCCAGTGACATTTCAGCAGCACAGCTCTCAGGAGAGAGGCGCTCAGCTATAGCAGCCCAAATTACACCCCTGCTGTTTAGCAGCTTCACCTGCACTCTGTCTGTGTACAGAACTAGATACTACCAACCAGTCAGTAAATATCTGAATCAGATTCAGAGATTTCTCCACATACCGCAAATGTAGTCTGTCTGTAAAGACATGTTTGGCTTTTTTGGTGGTGCACTGGAGCTAATGGGGCACGCTTAGACATTATACAAAATCTTTGCACTGTTGCCTCAAACCTTGTAGAGTTGAAGTAATCGCAAATGCACTTAGTTATGTGTTTCTGGCACAGTATAACTGACTGTTACTTATAAACATGGACAGAAGGCAAAATTCAGGCTTCAGAATGGCTGCTGTACTGTTTTTAGATGTGTGTTGGTGTAATAAAAAATAACATAAGTTCCAACATTTGCTGAAAGCCTAAAAAATCCACTTTTCATCACAGTCCTCCTTTTGTGCATTTTGCCCTGCGAATTAAACACACTTTATAGTGCATAACAAACTTTACAGTTAAGAAAAAAACTTTACAGTTAAGAATAATCATAAAGTTCTGTTAATACTTTTTACTGTATGCAGTCTTATCTAAACGTTTGAGCACCCCCAGTTAAATTACTTTTGTAATTAATTTAACACATCCTCTATAGAGAACACACTTAAATATGTCATGTTCTGCAACACTTTAGAGCACAATTTCTGTTTATTTACTGAGTTTAACTTATTGAAAAAAACACATTTAAAAATTTATGCATATTTTATTTTTTTGCCAATATGTTAAATTCACTGTTTCAGTGTTAACTGAATACATATATATATATATATATAAAATATAGTGGGATTGGTGACTTTTTTTTTTTTTTAGAATTTGAGAATAGAATTTCAAAACTTAGTCTGAGACAGATTAAATGAATGCATTATTAGCAGCATTATAAATTCTGAATATATTAATTATTAGCATCATGACTGTAAACATCTGTCTGCTCCTCACTTGGCCTGACCACTCTCACCCCAAATGCTTTGAACCCAGCTGCCCCTCCACCTTCCCATCCGTTCACCTTCCCTCCCCCTTTAACTTGTACCTCTTCCTTCAGTCTCTCTCTCTCTCTCTCTTTCTCTCTCTCTCTCTCTCTCTCTCTCTCTCTCTCTCTCTCTCTCTCTCTCTCTCTCTCTCTCTCCTGTCTACCTGCCCCACTCACACAGTCTCCCGGCACTGTGCCAAGCAGCAGGACTAAGCCAGTGCCCTCAGGGTACAGGCCATCTGCTAGCCATGCCAGCCCTGCTGGTGGCCCCACCCGCGCAGAAGCAGGCAGGATCCAGACGCGCTCACACCTCGACCCAGCACAACAGCACTACCCTCAGGGCCCAACAAGCACCATGCCAGCCTGCCATGTCCACAGCCCCTACACCTACAGAGCCAGGGATTACTGGCTTTAATTTAGACATAAGACCACCTTTCTTGCTCCTACCTAATTCAGACGTATCACCTGGACAGTTTTGAATGTCACTTATGAAAAAACAGTCAGTTTAATGAGACTTTGATGTATTGTTGTTTGATTCACATGAACTTAATGAAATAGGCAGTCATCTAGTTGCAGAAATAGTGTAATATTTGAGGAGAAGGAGCAATAAAATACACTTTCCTGTTGTGATTGGATAGTCCCACTAATTGCTCTTTTAGCCCCCTAAACTCTAAGGGTTGGTTTCCTGGACATGGATTGAGCCTAGTCCTGGACTCTACTAGATTCTGAATGGAGATTCAGAAAGAAATCTGTTGTCTTAGGCCTTTGTACTTCAAATGTAATTGCTTTATTAATTTGAAGTACTTAATTAAGTTCTCAGCATTTGAGTATGATTTATTCATAAAAACACAGTACTCATTGATCACATACCCTAATGCCTGTAGAGCCCTAAGACTGTGTTCATACATCATACAAATGTCACTTTTTTGAAATATCCTCCTAAACTAATTGATTTCTTAATATGATCTCATTAAAATCAAATCTGTAAGTACAAATGTTTTACAAATGAGGCCTCAGGAAAAGGCATAATGCTTGTCTGGGAAACTGACCCCAGGAGACTTTTATATGGTTAAAAAATTCCTCACTCACAAAATACATAATTAAACATTGCACTGACAAAGTGTTACTGTGAATATACATGTTTCAAATGTGTACATCAGTTCCTTGTGAATAAAATATGTTACATCAATATGATTCTTGCCAAAAGTGAGTAAAATGAACGATAGTAGTTATGGTAACGTAGTATATTAAATTCATGTGGAACCGATGTAAATTCAAAGCGAATCAAGTTACCAAATAATTTATAGTGGTTACTAAATAATAAGTCATAATACTAACAACTCGATGAAAATCCTGCAATTTAATGGGTTAAAGTAAATTGAAATCCAGTGTATATACGTTGTTGTCCCTGAATGTGCAGTAGTTTTAAATGGACTTTTGTGTGGACTTTCGTGCAGATTTCTCCACCAGGATCACCTGAGCAGCAGCCAGTGTGGAATCACTGCTTCCTCTTCTTGGGTCGGGACTGTGCCACTGCTTTCACACCAGGGGCTGCTTTGGTACTGGAGTACTACTCTATTGCTACTGGTACAAACCTTTACACTCACTGTTATTCAGACCAATGGGATGTTTTTGTGAATGAGAATTACATCTGGACAACTGCTAATATTTGGTGATAAGCACGCTCGTTTATGTAAAATGAAAGGCAGTCTGTTTAGTTGAAATGACAAAATTTGACCAGCATTGAATATGACTGAACGATTAATAAGGAAGAAGGATTTCATATCTCTCCAAAATGATATTTTCATTCTCTCTCCTATTATTCTGGTTTTATTATGTGGTTGACAGCCTTTTGATACGTTTATAAAATGTATAAATTGTTTTTATGAATATTATTGTTTTATTGTACAGCAAGGGTGAAATGAAGGGTGCTTATGCGTACAATTTTATATCTGAATCTGAATCTTTATTCACCAAGAACCATGTGTACAAGAAATTTCTCTTGGTGCAGGTGACAAAATTAAACCCAATGAAATAAATATAGAAAAAAACTTGAGGTAAATATAAATGTAAATATATTTATATAATATGTTTATTGCAATAAGTAGAAGGGCATATGTGCACCGAAGAAAGTGGGAAGATTGTTATTCAGAAGGATTGGCATGGTGTGTATAGTGGTTATGTTATAATTATTATCAATAGAAATCCATTATAAATATATATTTCAACTCTGTCATAAATATAAGACTGTTGAAATTCAACAGTAGGCCAGCTCTGATATGTTTCATTAAAATATGTATGTAACATACAAGTAGGTTTAATTTTCTGTCAGTCACCTGAATGACTAGTGCCTTTTTATTTCTTTTAGTGATGAATGCTGTGAGCTGGCATATGAAGAGCCCTGTGGCGTTCTCAGCTCTGAGTCTAGATCAACAGCTGTACAGCAGCCTGATGTCTGAATGGGGCCAAAGAGGCCTGAGGCTGCAGGGCCTACAGCTACAGGTGAACAAAGAGTGAAGAGAAACTGGTCTGTCGTCCTTTGCTCATGCTGTTGGGTAGATTATTAAGATTTACATTCTACTGTGGTCGTGAATTATAGGCATTTGGTTCACTCACACAGTCCACTGCTAAATCAGTCATCTCAGAGTGTGCTCAGCTGTTGGTCCTGCCGTCTTGAGCAGCAGTAGTTGAGTGAGTATTGATGGTATGTTAATATGCTATGTTTCTCAGGGCTGCTCATTCCAGACCATCTCACACGCTTCAGCCTCCGTCAGCATTGTGCTACGCCTCATTGGCTCAGAGGTGAGTGGCCAAGAGAAATTTGCTCCAATCACACACCAGTTGCCCTTTGCTTGGTTCTCACTGTGATTTTCTGATGCATGTGACAGTTCCTCACGTGGCCATGTTTCTTTTGCTGGCAGACAAAGAAAAGTCAGAGAAAAGAGGTTAGTTACAGTACAGTGCAAAAGTGAGCACAAGCCCTTGATTTATTTAATTTCATGTCATAATTGCCATTAAGTAGGGGTTGGCAAAAAGGATAAATAGTATATCATGATACTTAAAGAAATGTTCATGTATCACCATATTTTGATGCATATCACCATATTTTTCACACATCACCATATTTTGACACAGATAAAATACACAAGTAGTGTCACATTTAAAAGTTCACAAAGTTATTCAGGATTTCACACACAGTGCTGCACTAAATCCAATTGAACTGAACTAATTATGCTGTCTTTGTAATCAAAACATGAAGTTGGTCAGTATTCTTTAAGTCCTGACAACATCCATGATATGCTCAGAAATACACAATAGCAAAATTAATCACGAAAGCAAAATTGATCACAATAGCAGTAAAATATTGTCATATTGCCTAGCCCTACCTTTAAGTACAAGTTATTCATTTTTCACCATCAGGAAAGAAGGAGAAAACATATATTTAACAATACACAATCTAACATTATGTTAGATTTTTCAGTATGTAGTGTGTCCAGACTTTATTACAGCTTCCATTCTTGTCAGGAGACTTGCTTTCAGTTTTTTTAATCCCAAACACATTCAGTGCTGTTAAAGTCTGGACTCTGGGGTAGCCAGTCCATTTTTACTGAGAACAGCAGCAGCTTATTTGTTTGACTTGCAAGTTTTTTTTTTTTTCTCAGTAACAGCTTCTGACCAGCTACGCATCCTTTCTGACCCATAGAGTTGAGTTCTGTACTGTTGATCTGATGACACTTTTGGTGGTCTGCCAGGTCTTGCACACTTGTTAGGAGTTCAGTTTCCTCTATATCTTTTTTTTTTTGAACTTCAGTTTTGGTGGCCTCTGACTTTTGCACAGTACTATATATTTGTTAACTTTCTGTTCATCTTATTAGGTCTAGCATCATCATTACATTAACATTTGACATTGGAGCTATTTAAAACAGTAACTTTAACATGCATGACAGAGTGATACCTAAATGGCAAAAGGCTTTTTTTCTAGTAAGCTGGTTTACAAGAACATCAGCTCCATTTACTGTATAACAGGATCTCTGAGCTGCATTATGTGATTACAAACCTGACCTGGTGTGCTCATAGAACCATCTACATACAGGCCTAGCACACTGAAAAGACACACACACACACACACACACACACACCATAGCCTGAAGAGGGTACTAAAGCTGTTTTATTGCCCTTTAATAATTGCTATACAGCGTTATTATCTTAATGCAGCCATTTTTATAGGCTGCAGGGGACAGCGAGCCGTTTACAGGCTCTCTCTGGAGCACTCTCAGGCACAGAATCCATCTCCATCTGTCTATCCCTCCCTCTTCTCATCCGTCGTTCCTCTTTAAGAGCTGCTTCATAACAAGCTGGGGCAGTGCTGGCGACATGGATTGACAGGGTCTGAGAATAAAACACACCATACTTTCTCCTCAAAGCATCTAAGCACTTAAAATTAATTATTATTATTAACAGTTCATAATGACTGACTTAACCTCTTTCAGATGATCTATTATAGAGGAAGTGAGATAGATACTGCTATATGTCCTGTATATACAGATCAAAAGTTGAGAATCACTGTTTTGAGTAATATAAAACCACTTTGTTGCAGATAAATGTATAAAACTCTTGATTTTATTAGGATACTGCCACTTTCCTACTTCACAGATTTCTTATATAGGAAGCTCTGAAGATGATTCCATTATGCCTGAGAAAGCTGTTTAACATTGAGTTAAATATAATAAAATTAACATCCTCAGTGGCTTGTATTTGAAAAGTGGTGATCAAATCTTAAGGCAGATTTGGTATCCTCCATTGTGAATTAATCTACCAACAATTAAATGTAAGTAAATCTAAGACCCTTTTTCTGAGCTTTATATAGAACATCGCACACATTTGTAATGGGGCTCTGTCATGAGAAAAGTGGATTTTATCTTCCACCTTTCATGCAGCAGACCAATCAGTCTTTTCTTGTAACGAGCAAAAGATTGTTATTGTGTAACAGAGATGTTTACTGCAGTCTCTAGTAATTAACACTAACTTTCAGAGGAATGCCTCCTGATTTTTCCATGTTTTGTTGTTATCATTTGCATAACTATACCAGACGCCCACGCGTGTTCAGGGTAAAGCCGTGGCTCTGTCTGGCAGCCCCTGAGGAGGGTGGGGGTGGGCTACTGTGAAGGTTGGGTGCTGGAGTGTTAATTGTGTGTGAGTGGAGGATCTGAGCTCCTGGTGTGAAGTGAACAAAGAGATTGCAGAGAGAAGACGGGGAGAGAGCCTGAGGAGTGGGGAAAGAGAAGGAGGAGAGAAAGGGTCCACAGTTCTCTGAGGGCCAGAGTGCGGGAATCAGCACCTCCCTGTTTCATCATTAAGTCAGGAAGAGCATGTAGATGAAAGACAGTGCATAAGAGAATCTATGAATTTTGACAAGTCTAAGGGCTTAATGCTGGAGGAATAGGCTTAAGGATAGCAGTTTTACAAATGGCTTGAAGAAAATGATGCATGAACCCATCATATTGGGGGCTAAATTAAAGTAAAAGTCAAAATTCTAATTGTCCTCAGAAGAAGCTCTTCAGTGATGCCAAATCAAAACCTTGTAACTCTGTTTTGTGTGTTTGTTTTTATGCCATTTGAGAACATTGGCTGTTTTTTTACACTCTGAGATCATTTTATGATGAATAAACCAATAGATTATCCAAAATTACTTGCAAACTTATGTTAAAGTTCAGAATTTTCGCTCCCTTCTCATGGTTACCATTTTGGAGATGCAAGCCTTTGTTTTATATTATGTTGATAGATGGTCACTTACTTACTGTAGCAAATATTCCTTTATTCATATACAAATAATGTTCACTCTAATCTGTCCTGCATTAAATGCATCAAGACATATTTCAGAACATTTTTTATATTTGTAGCAGGTGTTTGCCAAAATGGACTGAGTTGAAAATGGTTAAGTAGTCATGCCAAACCACAATGTTGACCGAAGCTCCTTAAGGACAGCAGATAGGTCACTCATAGAGAACAGCTTAAGTACAAAAATTAATTGATTATTTATTTATTTATTTATTTATTTATTTTTTATGACCCCCTTTTTCCAGTTGGCTGCTGAAATAGATGAGTGGTCCCATTCGTGCTGTAAAGTGCAGGGGGAAATCATTGGGATGAGTGTTATTGTAGCACTGAAGCAATAATGGCCCTCACCCCCCCTCCACACCCCACACTAGCATAACACAGGCTGCTGCTGTTCAGACTGTGTGTAATTATCTCTCTGGCTACTGCCATGGTTATGATTGCAACTGAAAAATGAAAGACCAGCGAGGGACAGAGCAGGTGTGCATGTTTAAATGTGTGTGTGGTGTGTGTGTGTGTGTGTGTGTGTGTGTGTGTCCGTGCGCGCTCATGCACCACTTGCAGATTAATTCACACTCTTGTAGACCTGACACAAACTAGGATCTGCGTTTCATTAAAACAGAATTGTCTTAGATTGATTCATCGCCTGATGTGTAATTTAGTTATGGCACCATAAGGTCTCTATGGGAAACAGACATCATACGTCACCCTGCTGATCTTCATTCACCCGGCCTTAAATGCACATCTGTCCTGCATCTATGCGCCAGCTCTGTTGCTGGCACTATATAGTTTTAGACTGTGATTTAAAAATTAGTAGCACATTTCATAGTATTGTTTATATTCTGTTTCCACTGAACAAACCCAGACTGACAGTAAAATTTGCTGGCTAGTGTTGTACAATGCCAACCAAACAGGTGTTCCAATTCTCACCACTGTCAAATTCTGTGCTCCCTTCCAAAGTGATTCCGACAACCCAACAAATGCAGAAATACAGACATCTGCTGTGTCTGAAATGGCTGGCAGCACGGGGCTTGAATACAAATGCTGTGAGACGACCGTCGTCCAGCCTGCCCTCCCCATCCCTCCCCTGGATTTACTCAGCCAATAAATGCTACATTTCTTCTGTATGAAACAGAAAGACTGTGGGTTTGAAACTGAGCTACGATAAGGTCTGGGGCTTTGGGTTATCTGCTAGCAGGAGCTGAGGCATGGAGCCGAGTGAGGAGGACTCAGTGACTGAGGCAGGAATTCTGAGAACAGATGCTGGTTGTGAGATATGTCGGTCTTCTGATGCTGTCCAGCCTTTTCCACAGATAGACTTTAGAGCATGACAGAAATTGCTGTGTCAGAACATTTTTAAAGAGGAAAAAAGTCACTGGTTTTCTTTGGAACAGTCTGCTACCTGCTTACTGGTGCTATTATTATGATAGTAAAATGTATTACAAAGGTTGGGATGTAAAAGAATACAAGTATATGTATTCAGAATACAGAAATGAGCCGTGTTCTGTCCACATTACATTTTGAAAAGACAGTATTCAGAATATAGTCGTGTCTTACATTTTTTTGGTAGAGACTTTCACTATTTTATACACAGGATAAAGTAAACAAGCTCACTAGATTGACTCTAAAGAGGAACTCAGCTAAGTTTCTGCTAAAGCCTGAGTAGACTGATAAATCTATGTGATGAGCCAGTTGTTTGTCTCAGTGTTACTGAGCTTTTTTTAAGAATGATTAAACTGAATAGTCTCCTCAGTGGCCGTCATGTTCACAAGTGATAATCTTAGCATTTCCTATAAGCTTAAAGCACTGACCTGCATAAGCTGTGCCACTTTACCTGAAAAGGAACAGTGTTCTAGGTTCTATAATATCCGAACAAAAACGATATTCAGTACTTCAGTTGTATTCAGTAGTTTTTAATATTTACATTTAAGAGGCACAAAAACACAAAGAATATGAGTATAGCTTTTATGTGGCTACCTTAGTACGTATACCAGAAAGTGTCACACTTTTGCAGGAGATAAGAACAAAGGAAAAAGTTGAAAATTTCTGAACTTTATTTAAATGAGATGTGAATTTTTCATGAAACATATAAACAGAACTGTCAACCAGGAATTAATGAATTACGTTTTCACGTCCATCATCAAGATGTGTTCTGAAAGTATTCTAAAAAAGCTATGTTTTATGTATTATAACAGAGTACGTTACTGAATACATTTAGGACAGCGTATTCAGTATTCAGGCATTAATGCTTTTTCAAAGTAATCTGCCCAACTCTGATCACATCTGAATGAATGTTAAAGTAATGCTGCAGCTTTTTTGAGCCTAATTTCATATGGTTGATTACCACAGACAGTAATTTCCCTGTATTTGTAAATAAGCTGACAAACTGTTGACTTAAAACACACTGTTAAAAGTGCTTAAATTGAAGCATCTATTATAAATGTTTCCTGAGCCAAGTATTCTGTTCTTTCACTAAATACAAGGAAGTATGTCAAAATTATTCTGCAGCTAGAAATCAGGTTGAAAAATGAAGGTGTCTGAGCAGTGGGGTGAAATGCACACAGTATGTGGATGCACATGGTTGCCTCCGTGCGTGTGCATGTGTTTTTGAGGCACACTCGTTTGCTTGACTAATGAGGTGGACTGAGCCGGGGCACGGGGGGTTGAGGCATGTCTTTGTCAGGCTGCAGACATCGCCGTCCCCCCACACTGCGCTCCACTGTCCCAGGGGACGCCTCTGAAACCCGCTAATTGAATCAAGTACACATGGTGCCTCCCCAGCCCAGAGCCGCAGAAGAAGCCAGATCTGGGCTTTGATGCTTTTGTTTGGCTCAGCACCGCGGACAGCACCCAGAGACGCACAGCTGCAACTGGTTGTGTGCTGCTGGAGTTAAGAGGCATGCTGGGGTGTCCTTTGGGCTCTGTGTAGAGCGAGTGTGCCCAGAGCTGTTGATAAGATGTTTGGCTGTGTGTTTGCATGTGTTTGAGTGTGTTGGAGGATGGATGTAGAACAAGTACATGCACAGCATAATAATCTGCATATACAAAGACTGCCTCTCTCTTTGCTGTCTGGGAGGAATATAGGGAATAAGGATGTGCAGCTCAGTGAGACTGTGATAAATGATTCTGCACTGCGGCCATTTGCTTTTGACACTGCTAGTGCAGAAGGTCAATCTTGTGTGTTTGGGGAGGGGCACTCAGGTGGGAAGGAGTGACAGAATGTTTAACAGGACAGCTGTGTGTGTGTGTCTCTGTATGTGTGACTGTGCATATCTTACACTTCATGTCTCGACTGCCTCATTACCCCAGTGACCAAAAAGTCACATCCGTAGGCGCATGAATTACGAGAGTTCATTCTGCTCTCTGAACCCTTATCCCTCCCAAAAAAGCTACATGTGTTTTAGTTCTTCTGGCATTTTTTATGGTCATTTCATTTAGTCATTATGTGTGTAGTCATTTTTATGGCCTGGATGTTCATTTATGTTTGTTTATTGTGTACTTAGAATCAATTTATTCAGTGATTTTACATACATACAAATCCAGCCCTCCAAAGTTAAGTCTCAGAAGTTTCTCATTTTCTATTTCTTATGATCCAAGTGATCCCAAACACATTCAATGACGCTGACGTCTGGACTTGAGGTCAGTCCGTTGTTCTGAGAACACCAGCAGCTTCTTTGTTTGATTTGTAAACAGATTTGTTTTTCAGTAACAGCTTCTTAACAGCTACACATCCTTTCAGACTCATAGAGTTGAGTTGTCTTCTCACAGTGGAAGGATGGACAAAAACACCTATGGGTTTTTCAGATCTGAAGCAAGGGTGGAGCTTGATTTTGGATCCATAGCTTTCAGTGCTGTTTATCTGATGGTGACATCTGATGGATGAAACTGCTCAAATAGCTGGTTCCATTATCTTGTGCAGTTTGTTCCAGTCATGTTAAATGATTTATTGCATGGTTAATGGTTATTTAGAATGATTATTATTGTGCTGACATTTGTTCCCGTCTCTTCTGTGTTCAGGAGAATGACATTTAATCATATTTTATTAAATGCACAAAGCCTGTCACATTTTTTATTTCATTTTTAAATAAATGTCAATATTTAGTATAAAAAACATGACTTTCATTCACACTGGTAATCTGTGAGTTAATAAAAGGAATATTGATACAAAATACAAAAATAATGCTTAGTGGATGTTTAAGTGCAGTTCTGTCACTGAATGAACTATGAGAATAATCATTTTCTTTTTATGAGAATAATCATTTTTTATGAGAATAATCATTTTTCTTCTTTTTTGAAATAAAGGAGAAACAAAATTATCTCTGTATCTCCATGTTTACTTCCTGTGCGGAAGAACGTGGAATAGACCTGTGCAGGACTGAAGTAAGAGGCTGAAATGCCATGTAATGTAATTGTGCAGAACAGCTGGATTAGTCCTGCTGATGTGCATCCGCTGATAATGACATTAGTTTGGAGTCTGGAGATGCATTTCCAGCACACTGCTTCCATTTAGACACGAGGAGGGGAAAGTGGTGGTTGATGGAACGCGGGTGCAGGTCTTTGCTGGGCTGGACCGGACGGCTTCTGCTCCCCCGCACAGTAATTCTTCTCTCAGCCCTCAGTGTCAATTAAAGCAGCATGACCCGGCCTCTGAAAGGCTTTTATTTCAAGGTTATTGAGGGTGTGCTCTGCTGTGAGCGCCTTTTCTCTCACTGTCTGCTTCTCTGCAGCTCAGCCATCAATAGTCAACAGTGTAGATTAAAATGACTTTCATAAAATGGAAAGGCAGTGCTGAGCCTTTCCATGAAAACCCTCTGTCTGCCCCCTGTGTTTCTGCCTATAACACTCTTAAAAATAAATGTGTTCTTTGGAGAGATACCATAAAAGAACCTGTTTTGGTTCCTTAAAGAACCCTTTCATTGTTGGTCCATGTGGTGTAAAGGTTCAATACCAGTTAGATTTTTCTAAAATCCTACATCTAGTCCAAAAACGTTTATAAAGCTCTAAGGGCCCGACTTATTTTGTCACCAAAGCAGATACCTATTTTAAGGAACTGGTAAATTCAGAAAAATAGAAAGTAATATAACTTTATCTGATCTAGAATTAAATACATTGATTAGCCACTTTATTAATTACACCTTCCTTGTATCTACACTCATTTTCTATTTTATCATCCCCACTTACCATAAACATGCATTTTGTAGTTCTCCAATTACAGACTGTAGTTCATCTCTTTTCTCTGCATACTTTGTTAGCCCCGTTTTCATCTGTTCTTCAATGGTCAGTACCGCCCACAGGACCACCACAGGGCAGGTATTATTTGAGTGGTGGATCATTATCAGCACTGCAGACACTGATGTGGTGGTGGTGTGTTAGTGTGTGTTGCGCTGGTATGAGTGGATCAGACACATCAGTGCTGCTGGAGTTTTAAACACTGTGTCCACTCACTGCCACTCTACACTCCTACCATGTTGGTCCACCTTTTAGTTGAAAGCCAGAGACAGTAGCTCATCTGTAGCTGCACACTTTGTGTTAGTCATCCTTTAGTCTTTCATCAGTGGTCACAGGACGCTGTTGGCTGGATGTTTTTGGTTGGTGGACTATTCTCAGCCCAGCAGTGACACTGAGGTGTTTAAAAACTCCAGCAGCACTGCTGTATAATATACATTGTCACTGCAGAGCTGAGAATGATTCACCACCCAGATAATACCTGCTCTGTTGTTATCCTGGGAGGGGGGGGGGTCCTAACAATTTGAAGATTAGGGAAAAAATGGGGGTGGAGACCTCTGTGGAGGAAATGTGTAATTGCACACAATGTACAGAAGAACATTTTGTAATATTGGTTGTGCTTCAGACTCCTTCCCTAAGTGGATGAATCTGACGTTTGAGTGCATTAAAGAGCATTCTGTGAGAACTGTCAAAATGTGTTGAATAGCGTGTCTTCCGAGGATGTAAGTTAATTGTCTACTGTTGTTATCTTGTTAAGGATAAGGTTAATTTTGCATTTGGAACCTAACCATTAAGTTGGACGTTCTTTTGGGGACTGTGTGTGTGATGTTAACACGTAAAGACGCTTGACGTTGTCCAGAAAACTCCTACAAAACCCAAACTGACGCCTCTCACTTTTCAATTATTATTTCCAGTAACTTTATAATATAACAGATACAAGTGGTGATGGGGAGTCGATTTCAAAAGAGTTGATTCTTCAGTGCCAACACGTCTGGTACAGGGAAAGAAAAAAGTAAACAATATTTTTCACAGAACATTGTGGAAAATAGCATGAAGTTGAATTAGGCTTTTTAATTTGAATTTTCTGTTATACCTTAAATAATGCTGCGGTGCTGCAGTTACATTCTTGAGCCTGTACGCCCTTTAAGGTAACAGGTGCACCATTTAAGGTGGAACTGGCAAATAAGCCAACTACAGCCCAGTGAAAACAGGAAGAAGATAACAACATTCATCTGGTCTGGAATGAAAACTTTACATATGGTTAACTGGCTTATAATGGTTTGTTTGCACAGATTTATGACTACAGCAATGCATTTAGGACTGTCTAGTATTCGCTGTGGAACCTTAATATTGGCAGTTTTTATTGACCCAAGAATATATCGACTACTACTACTACTGTTAATTCAATATGTTTTTTTTTCTTACTCTCATAGCATCCAGATTCGATCCTGAGTCAGGAGGACTGCAGTCAACTGCCTTGTGTGGAAGCACAGCTTCAGGGTCAGCGTTTATTTCCTGCTGCAGAAGGAGAGATTGAGGCTCCTCATTCAGCAGTGGAGCTGGAATTGGAGCTGGAGAAGACTGACGGTGGTCACAGCCCTCCCCTCTCAGAACACCACACCCTGCAGCAGCCCACTGTGAGTCAACCCTCTCCTCTCCTCCTCCATCCTTCTTCACCTCTCTCCTCCTCTCCATCTATTTCAGACTACCACACCCTACTGTAAGCCACTTCCCCTCTTCTTTATCCACCACTCTTCCCCCTTGTTAGGATAAGATAAAGGTGCTATAATTGCAAACACATATATACATGTGCTCTTTTTTTGCTTGCTATTTTTACAATACTCTATTCTCAGAAGACTGAATATGGCATTAACTCTATATTGATTAGGAACACGCTGGCTGTCAAATGCTGCAAGATTGAGGCTGGTCAATATTCACACTGAGTACAAATTTCTAATTCATCAAGCCTCCTTATATTGTATTGATTTTCTTCAGATTGAAAGCCATGAAAAGAATCTGATTACCCTTTTCCCAGCAGTCTAAAACAATGGCAGCCTTGTGACAATAGAGGAGAGTAAAAGTGTGGTTTTGTCCATTCTTACAGAAAGGAAGGTCGTAAGGAGAGCACAGAAGAGGTTTTCTGGCATTTTTGGTAGTATTAGTCTAACTCTCTGCTGCATATAAAGTAAGTGGATTATTTATATTACTCAAAAAGAAAAACAGTGGTCTTTTTCAGACCAGTTGCTTATAATAGAAAAAATAAGAAAACTTTTGAAAGATTAAAGCATTCTCTTGGGTTTGAGAAACATAGTATTACCCAGACACTATTAATTACCCAACCTCCTTAATATAAGCTCTGTGCAGGAGCTCAGCCTTGCTTTGTGATAAATCCTTTATGTATTTTTTATTGGCAGACGTGTGGTATTCCCAGCAGGAAAAGCCTAGGGTTCAGATGTGGAATAATGTATGCAGTCTGGGCCCACTAGCACAGGAATTTACTGTAATTTAGATACACACATACATACGCAGACCCACATACCCATGCCTAGGGTGGACATAGGCATATTATGAATAATAATACTGATACTGCCATGTTTCCTGCTCCTGTAAGCTATATAGCAGGACAGTGCAATAGTCTGAGTCTCCGACTGACTGCTGGCTGACTATCCTATGGGACCGACCTACTGGCTTCAGGGCGGAGAGGGGTTCACAGAGCTGTATTGGCCCACAGTGACATCTAGTGGATAGACTGAATTCTGTCTTAGACATATTCTCCTAGATCTTGCAACGTTTACCACAGCCATGCCTCAGACGTGCTGTTGTGAAATTCTGGCTGCTCTCTCAATGCTTCTGACTCTCTGCTTTGTGGTGGTCCAGTTCTTCCCAGTGCCCACTGACTCTAACACAACATACTAATATATTGCACACAATGATTTATCTTCAAAATGAAAGCGTCTTAAATATAGACAATACATCTAATTTAATTGTAAAGTTGTTCTGATATTGTGAGATTATTCAATCTAATTCCAGACATTTTTACTTAAATGCTTACTTGTATTCAGTTGAATGTATCTTAGTGCACTGGCAGATAATTTCACTTGTTTTAATAAATAAGGCTTGAAGGAAGTGCAACATCAGTTTCTGCTCAGCCAGGGGTTCCAAAAGTGTGCACAATTGACTGCAGGTCCAAGTCAGTCCAGCATAACACCGACGGATTGTCTGTGCAAGAAAAGCCCACAGCATGCTGGCCTTGAGAGACAATGGCAGAGTCAAGCTGGAGGGTGTGTATGAGAGTGTGTAGGCATGTGTGTATGTGGAGATGTAGCATTATTGGATGCTGGCAGCAGACGGCAAAGCTGAAGCAATGGATACGTGTGCACTTACAGAACACATTCAGATGCTCAAGGCTGATCTTCTTTGAAAACCCTTACAAGTGCTTTCAGCAGCCAGGACTCCATCACAGCATAACAGCATGTTTGTCTGCCGCCAGCCTGTGTATCGAATACTGATGTGAAGTGTCTCTAGAGAACCTGTGTTTGCATTTACAACACACTCTCCAACTCTGCTGGTAATCTCAGGCTTAGACTTCAGATTAGTGTTGGCTGATATATCGTATACCAGTATTGGTGTCAAACAGTAGTAGTGGTTTCAGTTTTAGGTATATCAGGAAAAAAGCAGAAACATGTTTAACAGACATTCACAAAGAAAGTTCAACAACAAAATATATCAGAACTTTCAGTATTTACTGTGTCCACACTTTGCCTTAATTACAGCTTTCATTGTTTTCAAAAGACTTGCTTTTACTACATCTACATGGATTTTTTCTACACCTCCAAAGTTCAGTCTTAGTAGTTGGTTACGTTTTGTACTTGTCACAATCCAAAAATCCCGAACACATTCAGTGATTGTTGAGGTCTGGACTCTGGGGTGGTCAGTCCATTGTTCTGAGAACATCAGCAGCTTCTTTACAGCTAGACATCCTTTTAAACTCAGTGTTGAGTTGTCTTCTCACAGTGGAAGGATGGATAGAAACACCTGTGGATTTTTTAAGATCTGAAGGAAGAGTGGACCTTTAGGTACTATTTATGTGACAGTTTTGGGGTCTGTCAGATCTTGTACAGTTGTTAGTCCCATTTTCTCTATACCTTTTAGTAATTTTGAGCTCCAGTTTTGTAAACTCCTGTTTTTTTTCACCCATTTTTCTTTGGACTTGCCACTTCCTTTTGTAAGTGGATTATATCTCCTTACAAATATCTCTGGAAAAAATGAATAAATTATACTTAAGGGCCATTTTGACTGGAAAGGAAGTGAAGAGTTTTCTGACTTCTGCACAAATGCCAGAATTCTAAAGCATTGTTGTAGCATAAACTAGCAGTACTCAGGCATCATGAAGTCACTAACTAATAATGCAGGCTTAAAAATCGTTTGAAACTGTGATATATTTGAAAAATATCATGATACTGAATTGTATGAGTGCTGCCCAGCACTACTTCAAATAGATGAAATGTTGTCACATATTTTAGAGTTGTTATGTCCTTGTCCTTGGTAAATAAACAGAGAATTTAAAGTGGCTTGCGGTCTCCTCAGCTGCTGTTTCTGAGACAGCTTCATTAGCACCTTTGTTATCAGGCTTATTTACTGCTGTTTGGAGCAGCGGTGGTTCAGTCCAGCTCCTGCGCTGCTTTGATAACAGTCTCCAGTGATTCATAGAGGAGAGAAGGGAGGGAGGGACAGATTTGGCTTTTTGAGCTGCTTTGAAGCACCAGGGATGGAGTTGTATCCATTTACAGCAGCTGTGTAGAGAGAAAGAGAGAGCAATAGAGAGAGGTGGAGAGAGAGATACAGAGAAAAAGAGAGAGAGAGGGGTGTGTATTGAGATATTTAACCGGAACCCCTCCTATCTGCTGTGTATGAGATTCTTCACCCCTTGCACAAACATTAACTGCTTCGCAATCAGGCTGTTCTGCCATTCACCTGCATTGTCCTCTCTGTCCCGTGACTCCAGCATCGTCTCATGGGTGCTTCTCTTCCTCTATCTGCTCATCTTAACAGACTCAGAGCAGGGCCACTGCATTGTAAATCAGTGGAAGGACATCAGTCGAATGAAGGAGAGGCCAAAGGTTATCCAGTCCTCCCCATTCTGATCCATTTTTAATCTACATTGAGCAGACACGTATTCGCTCTGCTGCAAAGCGAGTTTTATTACTCTCAGTTGGAGAGATACAGTCTCCATATTTGCACTCACAGCCAGAGCACTGATGCAGGTATGGTAAGCAGTTTGACTGCAATTACCTTTTTGTTTTTCAATATTTACATACTATTCTTCACATACAGCAGGAAGATGCAGTTTTCCTTGCAGTCGTCTTCTTTAGGAGTTAGTTATGAAATTGAGTTTTGTTTTGCCACTGAATGGAAAGTTGCAGATTATTATGGCATGCATCCACTAGGAGTGATACGCTGTGCATATTCGTAGGGATGCACTAAAACTTCAACCACCAAAAATTGTCAAATGTAACATTTTCTTTTTTCAAAAACAGCCAAAGATTTGACCGAAAAACAATGATTAATTAGTCCTACAACAAAGTGTCAAAATCTAACACTTCAAAACAAATATGAAGAGTAATGAAAATAAGCAAGTCATTAAAAACACTTTATTCTTTTTGCTCTGCTATGTTGCTCGGTACACACGTTTAAACAGTTTGAGGGGCATCAAATTAACAGTGGAAACGTCTGCCACATGTAAGTATTTTACAGCTTCCATGAGACAACAAGCAATTTGCAATCATGCCGAGAATTAATGCTGAAACTTACTGATATTCACATTTCAACAAACGTTCCAAGACAACCATGAAAACAAGATAAAAATATACTTTCGCCAAAGCCATTTGTCCTTTGTGTTCTTAAATTAAAGGATACTTAATGTTTGTGTTAAATATGCTTTTGCCAGATGCTGCGGCCTTGTTTTGGCAGTTTAATTTTAACCAAAAACTAAAAGAAAAATGAAAGTTGACAATTTTTTTACACCTATATTTAAAAAAAATATATTTTATCATGGTGAAAAACCATGATGCATATCATATTGTGAACTTTGTATACATTCCTAGGATCTACAGAAGTAACTGATTTGAATTTAGCCTTATGCTCTATAGGGCTGGTCTCCTGGACAACATTTAAGACTGGTCCTGCATTAAAATGCAGTGCCCATGGCAATTCACCATTGGAATTTTTTTGTCTTGGCTTGGACGTAATGTAGGCTTGGAAAAATGTTGGCATTTTTATTCTAAATTAATTTAGTTACTTTAGTAGTACACTAAATATGAAAAAAGTGCAGTGCATTTTAGCTACCAACCCATGTTTTGTGGCTATAACACAATCCATCCTGAGTAGTGAAAAGCTCTTTCTGCTCTATAATATGCACCCAAACAACACAAGCAATTTATTAGGCAACATTTTGGTCCACTGGCTTTGTCTTTTGGGATATAATTAAATCTCTCTGCACACACAGCTCTAGATAAGTTTTCATTTTGAAATCAGTGCCTTATGACTAGATATTGCCTGCATCTATTATCTATGGATGACTGTGATGCACTGTGATGTTTCATTTAATGCTTTTATGGAGTTGCCCACTAACCTCTTC